TCACCACTGGTCCTGAGGGGTTCATCTGCCCTGGATTCCCTGTGTTTCCAGTTCCTATCTGTACCAGTGTGCATCCTCTGGTCTAGCCAGATTTGTAAGGTATAATTGGGATCTTGATAGTTAGGGGGAGCCAAAAGTGAAAGCCTCATCTTTCTCCTGTGGAGCAGCTGGTGGTTTTGAACTGCTGACCTTGGAGTCAGCAGCCCAAAGTGTACCGAATGCATGTAACCCATTACACCATTCAGGGCTCCAGCCAGCCAGGGCTCCATTATTCCTAGGTATTTACATTTAGATTTTTTTTAAAAAATCTTTTCTCAAATTACATTTTCTATTTGAGGTATAATTTACATGTGACAAAATGTACCTCTTTTACATGTAGAATTCAATGACTTTTGACAATAGACAATATGTCTTTGTAACCAGCACCACAATCACGTCTACAGCATGTTCATCATCCCAGCAGGAAGCTGTGTGCACCTTTGCAGTCAAACCACACAACATTCAGTGCTAGGCAACTACAAAATTGCTTATTGTGACATTCAATTATTTTTGCCTTTAAAAAAAGCAGCACTTCATATAAATGGAATTAAAAGGCATTCATCTGGCGTCTTTGACCTGTGTTGTACAAGGCAGCATCCAAAAAATTTGTGGAAAACTTCTATTATTTCATTCCACTTACCCACACGTTTTTTGAAGCCCTTTCCTGGGTATCAATGTTGGTTTATTTTTACCTAGTAACTTTTTCTTTAAAACTTTAGAAATCAGAGTTTGATCATTTTTCCTCTTCTCTCCTCATGACAATGGGCTTTTGAGCTCTCCCCTCCCTTCCTACCTTTAGTGACCTTTAGTTATTTCAGACAATAATCTCCATGTGTCCTTTTGGCCAAAAAACAAGGCCAATTGTCCTGTGCCCACTTTTAGACTATGGTTATGCTATTTAACTATGCTTCTTAGGGCCCTCTGGAGAGGTGGCAGTGAGAGGCTTCCTTAATAGTTTCCCATGGACTTATTTCCAATTCACAGAAACAAATAAAACCACCTGGCCACTCATGCTCCCTGTCCGTGGGGATCCTGGGCAGCTGGAGCTTTGGAACCTGCTGGACTCCCTGAAGAGGAGTCTTCAGCCTCTGACATGGGTCTGCTTGGGCAGTTGCTGACCTAGATGGCTTTGCTCAAATGACCTTTCTTGGGATCTCTTTGCCTTTCAGAACAATCCCGAGAAGACGGCTGCCGCAGAACGGGGCAGCTTTTACATCACAGGGGACCGAGCCCACATGGACAAGGATGGTTACTTTTGGTTCATGGGAAGAAATGACGACGTGATCAATTCCTCTGGGTTAAGCTGTCACACCCACCCCACCCACACCCACCCCTTTGAAGTGTCACAGGAGCTTGGGGAGGGGAGAACACTAGAAGAACATTTTGTTTTGTTTTTCCTTCCAGCTACAGAATTGGACCCGTTGACGTAGAAAGTGCCCTTGCTGAGCACCCAGCTGTCCTGGAGTCTGCTGTGGTCAGCAGTCCCGACCCCATCAGAGGGGAGGTAATGAACTAATCCAGCCAAGAGCACAGCCTCCTGGTTCTATGCCCATGAACAAGAGGAAGGCGCAGATACCCCAACAGGCCATTTCTCATTCACAGATCACCAAGTCTGAGACATCAGACACACAGTCTTTTTAGTAATACTATCCTCATGGCTTTGGAGATGCAAATACTCTTGAGAAGGATACAACTGGAAGATACCGAAACTGTGGTGCTCAGTGGATACAGAGTTGGATCCAGAAAAGGTTAACTATTGGGCTGGAGATCTTGATGGCATGCTCGGGCTCGCCATCCATCCCGTCCAATGAAAGATCTCTATTTTCATTTGCCGATGAGGATACAGGGAGTGTACCAGTCATGACTCCTGGAGGTTCTAACCAGGGACGAGAGTAACTCCAACTCAAGGGATCATTAAGTACACCTCCAACGTGATCTTGACACACTAGAAAGATGGGCCAAGTTTACTAAGCTGACCTTTCACAGGAGAAATGCAAATTCCTTCCAGTAGGTGCCAGAAAAATAGATAGAATGGCAAGAACCAACCTAAAATAAAGGTGGTGTACTTTCATTGGCTGTCAATTCATCATGATGAACCTTTAAAAAGGTGCCCCCCACCCCCAACGCACTGCAGCCACAGAACCATCATGGCCACAGGTGTGATTCTCAAAATATGACCCAAGGACTGCCCAGAGCTAAATCATCTTGGGTCGTGACTTAAAATGCAGGTTTCTAGACCTCCAGTCAGACTTACTACATCAGATTGACCGGTACCACTCAGGACTCTGCATTTGAACCAGAACCTCCCCTCCACTATGCACCCACCACTGCCAAGTGATCCTGATGCCTACTGCAGTTGAAGACCACTATTGTAGAAGGAGGAAGGTGAGAGTCCCGTTTGTGTGCTGAAGAAATCACAGCTGGAACGGCCTGCCTCATTCTGCGGGTCACAAATTGACTGAAGTCTTGACAAGGGGGCTCCACATTGAATCTGTTCAGAGTCCTTGGAACAGAGTCTCACACATAGAATGGTTGGTAGTGCTAGTCCTAACAGAAAGCTCTTTCTAAAATCCAGACGTCTGGACACCTTTCAGAGGTTTGGACAATTATATCGGACATTGTTCACAAAGTTGTACGCTAGAATGGATTGCCAGAATCCAAGTAGTCTTTTGGACCCCTCCATTCTTATGAGAAATCTATTAGCGATTGACCTTGAGCTTCTTCCCCGTCCTTGCCAGGGAGCGGGCCCAGGCATGAAAGTAGAGTGTTCCTCCAAGTGTCCAGAGCAGCAATGTTACCAATTAATGTTTACTAATTATGAATACATACAGTGCCCAAAAGACCCACTTACCTTTGCAAGTAGTTTGAGGTTTTACTTTTTTTCCCCCCAATCCTGCTTGTCTCAACCCACGTCTATTGACCTTCCTCATCAGGAAAACCTGATTGAAGCTCCTCTCTCCAAAATATTTGCCCTTTAAGAAAAGCAGGTTGGCTCTCTGTGATGCCATTTCAGGTGTGGGCCTTGTTTTGTGAAGCATCTGATACCATTCTACAAAGTCAACACTCTCGATTATTGATCCTGCAAAGGCAAGCAAGGGAAAACCCATCAGTGCTGTCCGTTTCATTGGCTGGGCCCAGTGACCTGGTAGAACTTTTATGTGAGGCTAGTAAACACCAGCTCCTACTCTCACAGTGAGCTGAAGGTACAAAGCTCTGTCATACAAAGCCTGATCTTCTCTTTCCCCTCTCCCGCAGGTGGTAAAGGCATTTATAGTCCTTTCTCCAGGCTACACTTCTCGTGATCCAGAAGAACTGATCCAGGAACTCCAGGAGCACGTGAAAAGAGTGACAGCGCCATATAAATACCCCAGGAAGGTAAACATCTGCGAGCAGATAGCAGGAGCTGGGAAAGCAGTGCTCAGCGCCAGGCCCCGTGCCAGGAACTGAGGAAATGAAACATGCTCGCTTTTAAACCCCTCCCTGTTCCTTCCTCCCCAAAGCACCAAAAAGTGACATAAATAAGATTCGGGGGACTGGTAGTGGAACTGCGCTTGGAAAGTCTGTGTTCTCCAGGCTCTCCCTGTTTGGGCCATTGCTGTTTGGAGAGGATCCTTCGTTGTGATTTTCCACTGAAGTGACTGAACTCAAACAAACAAAAGCAAATTCACTGCCATAGAGTTGGTGCTGACTCATAGCAACCCTATGGGGTAGAGCTGCTCCTGTGAGTTTCCAAAACTCTAACTCATTAAGGGAAAAGAAAGCCTCCTTTTTCTCCCTCAGAGCAGCTGATGGTTTTGAACTGCTGGCCTTGTGGTTAGAAGCGCAATGCACAACCACTGTACCACCAGGATTCTCTAATGAAGTGGCCGATGGGGAATAATTCTTTTAAGACAAAAGTCTTTCTAATAATGATGACTTAAGAGTATTCTTATTTTATTTGTTTATTGGTTGTTGCTGTTTTTGTCCCTAGGTGGCCTTTGTCTCAGAACTGCCAAAGACAGTTTCTGGAAAGATCCAAAGGAGTAAATTGCGAAATCAAGAGTGGGGAAGATGAGGTGCAACTCCAGAGAGACCCCAGAAGCCCCTAAAAGTTCCAAGAGAGATTAGTGGGATCACTGGTTGGCCTCCTGCTTGAAGCATCTTCCTCTCAATCCTATGGACACCAAGGCTTTCAGCTTCCAATTGGGGATCTCCAGAGTCACTGAATGATCCTGGAAGCAAACAGAAGAAAATTGCTGATCCAGAGTGCATGGCCACATCTAGTCTAGCCACTGCTTGACGCCTCCTCTGTCTAGAGACACATTGAACATGTTCTCACTGGTCTTATTTAATAAGGACTCCCTGCTGTCTCTCTGTAGCACAGGTTCCCATAAATGCTGGACCCTTGTGATTTTATGCACTGCTAATAGAAGTATAAGAGTTGGGACTTTTTGATGAAGCCCTTTGGTAATATAATCCTGGGACATGGTCATACCCTTTAGCCCAGAAATTCCATCTTTCGAAAGCACTGCAGGGAAGGAATTCAAAATGCACAACCTCAAAGCATGCTTAGACTTCTGAAAAAGGGGTGGGGATAAATGATTAACTAAATTGTAGTATATTAAGTCAATAACATATTATGGACCACTAAAATATTTAAGGGGAAATTATTGTCCCTTGGGGAAGGCATACACTATGCTCATTTTTAAAATCAGAGTAGAAACTCTACATACATCCTGGCGAACCATAGCTCTGGAAAATAAGAAAAAACTGTAACTGGAAAAATGACTGAAAGGTTACAAAAAACAAAAAAAATGTTAGCTGTAATTTTAGCTGTAATTTTCCTGAGACTGAGGAAGTGAAAAAGGTAAATAAGATTTTTCCTCTTTATTTTGTTTTCTAAAATTTTTTACTTAAGTATAGAAAATAATACTTCAAATAAAACATCTCCTAGAATCACCCCCTGCCTCACCTCCAGTTCTCACTCCACCCACCCACCAACACCAACAATGGTACAATGACTCCACCCACACACAAATGGTAGTGGGTTATGTGTTAGCCAGGAGGGGCACAGGCTCAAAGCCTCAGCCAAGGCCCTGAAACTTGAAGGAGTAGCTCTGGTCAGCCCTTTGGGAAAGAAGCAAATGGAAACTCTGGGAGACTCAAATCCCTTCACTCAGCCCGCAGTACCTTCACTTAGTCACCAATAAATATTCATAGAGCACCTGCTCTGTACTGGGCTCTGGGAATGCAGTGATGAGCAAACACCAGGACGGTTGTCATATAATGGACGCTCTCACCTTGAAGACTATGGGGATATTGGCATTATCCATCAAATACTAAGACAAACAAATGCACAACTGTGAACATGCCATGAAGGAAGGAATATGATTAAATAAAAGATCCAGGATGACGGAGGGTGAGGGACTTAAGATAGCAGAGGAAACTTCCATAAGGCAGTCTCAGGTGGTGATCTGGGATCACAGGCAAAGCAGAAGGAAATGAAGGAACCAGGTAGTGGACAAACTTTCTGGATGAAGGATACAGCAGGGACCTTGAAGGTAGGAGGGGAAGGTAGATGTGCAGGCACACTCTCAGAACAGCCCACACTCATAAAATGCTAGCTCCGTCGAGGCAAAATTGTGTGAACCATTGCTGATATAAATCTCTCTCTATGTGCAGACACACACACAAGCATCATGGGCTTTGCTTCTCCAGAGAACCCAGCCTAACAGAGCTGCTGTCACAGACCTAGAAAGCAAACCCAAGACGACCAGCTCTAAAGCCTCACACTAGAGCTGTAGGGAAGTCTGATGTAGGAGTGTTGTCTTTCTTCTATGGGTACAGAAAGCCACCAGCAGTTTTCAGCAGTGAAAAGATCCTCTGAAACTTTCCATAATGCTTTAAGAATAAAACAACCAAACTCCTATGCTCTTTGTCTTGATGGCATTCCTGGACAACCCCAGTACTATTTTAAAGGGGGGAAATCCAGGTTTGCTCTTGACTACTAATCTAAAGGTGAGTAGTTCAAACCCACCCAGCAGCAACATGGAAGAAAGACCTGGTGACCTGCTTCTGTAAAGGTCACAGCCAAGGAAACCCTTTGGAGTGGCTCTACACTGTCACATATGGGGTCACCTGGAGTCACAGTCAATTGACTGCAATGGATTTGGTTTAGCCCAAGGTCAAACTGGAGGTGCAGCCAGGAGCAAGGAAAGCTTGTGGGCCCTGACTCCCTCCTTCGCATCACTGGAGTGCTGGGATTGGTTGGTTGCATTCATCTGATCTCTGAAGTCCACACTCCTATCTCACAGCCCTCATGTCCTTACAAAGACAGAGACACACACATGAACAAACTCACATGCGCATGCAAAGTCTCTCACACGCAGAGATACATATACACAACAGCTATATACACAATTACACAGACACAAGTCATGTGCATCCATACACAACCACATTCACACACAGCCTGTCACCATCACACGCACTTAACAATCACACTCACTATTTTATGTTCTTCATAGTCCTGGTTCCTCCAATCAATCAATACTATGTGCTTACTGTGTGCTAGATGCCATTTTAAGTTATTAGGGAAAATTGAACAAAGCAGGCAAAAGTCTGCCCTCAAGTAGCTTAGGTGCTGAGGGAAGAAACTAGAGACAACAGGACAATAAAATAAAAATAGCAAGGAAAGTATACACAAAGTTAGGAGGTGATAACATTCAAAGAAAACATACCTATATACTCGAGTATAAGCCAGGTTTTTCAGCTCATTTATAATGCAGTTCTTGTGGTAAAATTAGGTGCCTCAGCTGATAATTTGAGTATAGAGTACACAGTATTGATACTTGAGTATACACAGTAGTTTCTGGTTAGAAGTGAGGGGAGGAAAGCCAAGGCAGGTGACATTGAGACAGAGATAAAAATCTTTGGCAAAGATACGAAAGAGGAGAGAAAGCTATCCATGAAAATCTCTGGAAAGAGAGAGTTCTGAGAAGAGGGAGCAGCTAGGGTAAAGGTCCTGTGGAGGGGAGGGGTGTGCCTGCAAAGGACAGCAAGAAGGCCAGGTAAGCGATTGAAAGAGGAGTGGATGCCAAGCCAGGAAGAGAGTGGGGAGGGCGGATCATAAGGCCTTGTGTGGCGTGCAAAAACTTGACACTTCTTGCGCTCAGAATTGGAATCCAACTACAGTGGTCTGAGCAAGCAGCATGATATGCTCTCGTGCACTTTAAGTGTATCTGAAAAGGGCTTCTTTATCATGTTACAGGTTTGTGTGCCCCTCGCCTACAACAGAGAGCCATTTATCTTGGTCACCTCTGTGACTGCTGCAGGGCAATCCTCAACAAATCTTTGTTGGCTGACAGGAACCGGTATTTCCAGAGAACAGAGCATTGCTTGGCTTATCTTAGGAACGTGGTTCTAGGAACTCTCAAGCCAAAGAGATCTGCGGGACCTTTGGCCAAGAGGACAAATGGCTTTTTTTTGGTTTCCATTTGTGAACTCTGACTGCTGTTTCCCGGACCCTGCCCCCCAAATTGCTGTGTCCATGTGATCATCAGGAAGAGCAATGGCCCTCGGACTCTCAGACATGCAAATGTGGGAACTCAAGCTCCCCAAAGCCCCTCCAAGTCAACCATTCAAAGTTGAAATCCCTATGATACGTTGACTCTATGCCAAAAATGCCGGTGGTGTAGTGGGTATCACATTGGGCTGATAACCGCAAGGTCAACAGTTTGAAAATATCAGCCAATCCCACAGGGGCAGCTCGACTCTGTCCTATAGGATCACTATGGCTCTCTCCTATAGGGTCACTATCACTGTCCTATAGGGTCACCATGAGTCAGAATTGACTCAATGGCAGTGAGTTTTGTTGTTGTTGTTTACTCCAGGCCATGTGGGTTTTTTTAAGTTTTGTTTATTAACTTTTTGAATAAAGATCTCTTGTCACCTATTTCAAAGTGCAAATGACCTAGCTCCCCTCTCCCGAAACAACATAGGCTACCAGTTGCATTCTGGAACCATTCTAAAGACCTCCATGTCCCGGGCTTTGACAGGCATCATGAAATGCAATCTTCCAGAAGTGAGACCTAGGATTAGCCCTAATTTTCCTGATGAGAAAATGAAGGCTTCAAGCAGAAGGAAGATAACTTTCTCAACAGCCCACAGCTCCGCAGCAGAGGAACTGAGATGCAAACGCAGACTGTGTGGTCATGGGTCATGAATGAGGCCGGTAACGATGAAAGCTGTAAAACAACATGGCAGAAGAAAGCCCGAATCTAGTCTTAGGAAAGAGCCATGTTAGGCACTGACAGCGGCAGTCATGGCTGGGTGGGGTGAAGCCAGTCCAGGGGAGACAATATGGCAGAGGTGATATTGTTATCTTGTTATCTCTGATGGCCTCCCAAGATGGAGCAAGGAGAGTTTAAATGGGCAGAAAACAAGAGGAGGGAGAGATCATCATTTCTGGACTCTCAGAAGAGAACCAAGCACTGACCAAGAGGTACATTCTCATTTGGGTTAGGGGTTGCACTGCTCACCTCAAGGCTGGTGGTTCAGGGCCACTAAGCCACCCCTAGAGGAAGATGAGACAGTCTATGGCCATAAATATTTACAGCCTTGGAACCCCTCTATATGTTGCTGTGACTGAAAATTGGTTCTATGACAGTGGGGTTTTGTTTTTTTTAGCTCCTTCAGAAAGTATCGTCCCTCCCTTTCCAAGTAGATACAACTAGTTATTAAAATTCTTAAAGTAAAATTCTCCCTAAGGAAGACAGGTGCGTTCGTCTACAAGCAGGTGAGTTCTCCAATAAGATTTCCATCTCTCTACCAGATGAAAGGGAAAAGATGGGAAGAGGGACGTGGGAAGATCATGTAGGACCTTATATGACATTGCAAAATCTTTTATGTTTATTTTTCATGAAACTGTGGTCCACCGCCAGGTGGATCGCAATTTATTTGTCAATCCAAGGGGTCTGCTGCCCTCTCCGAGATGGCAAATGGGGTAGAAAAATAAAAGGGTGGTCGAGCAAGAGGGGAGCATCGAGCAGCAAGCGTAAGTGAGATTTAGAGTAAACATTGGGGAGGAGTTCCTGGAAGAAATGAAGAGGCACATGACTAAGTGATTGATTCTGCACCATTCAGAAATGCCCACGGCAAGGGTATTTAAGAAAGAACAGATGCTACGAAGGTTACCAGAGAAACTGGCTGACCGATGATTTTTTCACGGCAAGTGAGGAATTCTTCCCAGGTCACAGTTGCTGCTCCTCGTAAATAGGATTTTCAAGCCAGGTAGTTTCTAGGATTGATCCAGAGAAAGCGGGGGTGGGGGGGTGGGGGGGGTGGGGGGGGGCGGTGGAGAAAGACCCAAAATGCTTCTAGGGGCATTTCCAGAACTATCTCCTCTCTTCTTTCCCAAAGTTCCCACCTGGTGTCCAAGCTCTCAGAGTCCTCAAGCCCCTCTGGCTCCTCCCAATTCACCCATTGTGAATCTCCATCACTTTTGCCCAAGCGATAAGCCATTGCCAGGTACCTGGTAGCCCTATCTCACCCCTGCCCTGTGGGTCTCTATTGCTGAGGTTTGTGTCTCTAACAGAGATGGGTGTTTAAGGAGCCACCATCCCTTATCCATAACGGAAGGAAATGTTGCCTAGTTCGGTGCCATCCTCGCCATCTTGAGTCTAGTGCTGCAGCCCACTGTATTAATCCATCATATTGGTCTTCTTTCTGAGGTGGAGAGGGACAGTTCATTCAACATGGAGTACAGACCTGCCCAGGGGAACAGAAGAGCAAGCTGTATGGTGTCTCTGTCATTGAGGAATCCCAGATGGTGTTATATTGGTCTGGGTAGACTAGAGAAATAAAATCCAAGGAGACTTATATGTGTGTAAGAAAGAGCTTTATATCAAAGAGTAATTGTATATTAAGAAACCATACCAGCCCAACTCTGATATTAGCCAA